AAATGGAGAGCAAAGTGGTGTTTAGAGGCCTGTTTCAAACGTAGCACAAAGATGCACAAAGCCAGTTTTATGATTTGGGATGGGGCAAAGCTCGGTTTTCATGAACATCCACTTCGTGTTGAATGATGCAATGCAGACCAGTGAGAATTGACGGCATTGCAGGTTTCTGTTCGCCCCCCAACCAAGGGGGTGGTGAGTTTCTCATAGTTTATCAAGACAATTTGCTCGCCAGCAACCTCTTCCGCAGACCGAAGAAGAAGTGGAGTCAAACCCAGAACTGGCCTCAACACACCGAGCCTGATCTCGCAGTTGGCCGCGATGAATTCGCCGACCTGCTGATTTGTTCCCCTGCCTTTCTGCCTGCCTCAAATCGTGGCCATGTTGGACCTCCTCTTTTTTCTTTAGACCAGGGCAGGGGGCAGTTCGTGGGATTGTTTTCCGAAGCAAGAAAATACCTCTTTTAAAAGAAGAGAGCTCCAGATCGCCGGTGTGGCCGGTGTAGACTGCAGGGATGGGGATACGGAGGATAGCATGATCAACTTTAGTTTCTCGAGATTTGGAGGTCCTTTGACATTCTTTGGCCTCCAAGCCCTGGCCGGACAGTGTCTCTTTAATGGACTCGATCCTGACTCCGTCACTAGATTGTTCTGCAGAGCGAATGGTTCAGAAAAGAGGGTCGCTCAGAGACTTTCAGAAAATATGCTTGCAGCGTCGTTCGATTCGCATCAGATCGTTCTTTCGGATGGTTTTTGTCCGCTTCTTCAGCTGAAGCCGCTGCAGTTCACGGCGATCTGGGGCAGTCCATGTGAGTTCGGGCCCCCCCACTGAGCTGATCCCTACAGCTGGGTCGAGACTGGGGAGAGGACCGGCCTTCGAGACACCCGATTCCCAGACAATCCATGGGACTGAACAAGTGGTATATCCTGCCTCCAACCAACAAAGGAAGAGGAACGTATGGCCCCTTAAGATCCCTTAGGAAGATTGGTTTCATCTACCAACAGGCCGATTTCCACCTCTATGATTGTTTCAGGGAGGCTACGTACATCTGCGGTGGTGGATGCTTTTCCGGTGTCAATGTCGGTCCAGATGCGGATGGTCTGGGGATTTGATGGGATTTGATGGGTCCCACACAGTGGGCCAGCCATTTGAAGGGCCAGCCAACCATCGCGAGGTGCCACCCCTGTGGGGTCCCAAAAAGGCGATGCCCACCGGGCGCGAAACCACCGCCACGGGCCACGCGCATTTCGCCACGCGCCGTGCGCGCGAAAAGAGGCGCGGCGCGAAAGAGCAGCGCTGAAACAAGGGCGGGGAACGAGAGAGCGGCGACTGTTGGAGCATGTTGAAAGACGGAGACACAAATGCTGCTACTAGTATTGTTTGCTATAAAAAATATATATATAATATATTATAATTAGATATAATATATATACCAGCACCCTCCAATCCAAGGAGTGCCCAATGAGTTTTGGGATCACATGGTTGATAAGGGGTGCCCAATGGACGCCCCTTTGAACACACCACATCCGAATCCCACTTTTCTTCAGGTTCCCATCGAAAACGTCGTCCTTCGAACGCCATCCTACTGCGGTGTGCTGCGCTGCATCTCCACCTTTATCTTGGAGCAGGCCACGAACAGGCTGGAACGCCCGGTTTGGCCTGGTTGGGTGGCAGCTGCCAGAGGGCATCCGTCTTTTGGGAGATTGTGGCTTTTGTAAAGCCCAGATTTATAATAGGTTATCTTTTCTAACCCACTCTACTCTACAGCTGCCTCAACCAACGGCAGCAAACATAGCGGCTGAGACATTGATATCCCAACCGATTGGGATGGCTGGACGCCGCCACTTTTTCAGTTTCCCCATACCATCCTCATCTTGATAACAACTCAGTGGTAACCGGGTTTTGAAGAGGGGCGACGTCCAACCAGGTGGTCTAACCGGTGCAACTTCGGCCTCAACTTCCAAAGTAGCTTCTCGTTGGCGACCGCTTTGTTGGCCAACCCTTAGGCCATCAATAGCCAACAGCAGCATCACACAGGACATGATTCTGAGCAGATTCCGCAACAATCTTAGATGACAAAGGCACAGTTGTAAGCACGGTGGAAGAGATAGTTGGCTTTCTGCAGATTCTCAAGGTTCTATGGTGTCAGGATCACCGGGGGGGTTGCGCTTCACACTCATAGAGTCCTGCAATACACACAGGTTGTGTAATACAGCTGCCACCATCCTTGTGACCAACAATGGCAACAATATGTCAAAGCCACACTCCCAAAAGACTAGGCCCCAAATTCAATGCATGGCACGCGCAGTGCTCATCCTCTCGGTGCCTCTCCGCAATCTGAAGTGTCAGCCCACGAAGTCATCGGCATAGGACCACAGACGCCTGCGCGCAAATCCCATGATCTCTCCGACATGGACCTCAAACCCTTGAGCCCCTAAAATGACACGGGAAAATGTTGAAAAAAACATTTCTTCAAAGCATGCTGGGGTATTGTTTGCTGCCTCCAGCATATAGATGTCTCCTTAACCTTTGGAGGCTGATTCAGCCAGTTCAACCCACGAATCCGAAAAGCACAAGTGGAAACTACCGCCAAGGATCATAGTGAACAGCTCTCCTCTCGAACCTTAGGGGTGAACCAGGGTGTTGAATCTACCTGCCCAAACTTGTGGGCATTGACAGTGTTTCCTGATTTTGCCAAGAATTGCTTGGACTCTCACTAAGTAAGCGCACTTAGAACCACCAAGAAACGTATTTTCATGGCCTTGCATTCTCGAGAAAACAAGACGAAGGCATGTCGAAGTTGTCATCTGGACTGCCATGGCCAAACGTGCTTCCTGCAAGAGCCAAGTCACAAATGTGGAGAAGAGCAGGGTGCATGAACTGGCAACTCCATCCTGGAACCTTGACGAACATCTGAACTCCTGCGAGTTGGCTGATGAAATCCGACGTTGTCAGCAAAGTGTTCCTGTGACTGGCCTGTGGGCCATGCTGCGTGTAAACAAGAGGGCCACTGCCAGATGTGGCTTTGCGTGATATGCGTATGTGCTGGCTGACCGCTGTGAACGGGGCGGAATGCCCGTTGAACATACTTCTCAGCACCCTCGTGGATGAGATAGATGGACCCCCAACTCTGGCAGAATCTCCAATGTCTGGTAAAAATGGATCAACTTCAAAGAACACACCTTCCTGACCTTCCGCCAGAGACCAGGAAAGCCACAGGTCTAGTGTGCGCTTGCTCTGGTGACATACACTGGAACGCGGACATCCCAGAAACTGGCCCGATGACCACCACAGAGCCGAAGCACGTGCAGAGAAACGAATGCTGTATGTGGCTCCACAATCATCCCCATGGACAAGTAGAGAGATGCATTTCTCCAGTTGACTGTCCGAGAGTGTTTCAAAGCAGACATGGAATCTTAGTGGAATCTCAAGTTGCAGAAACACTATTCCAGAATTGCTCGCCCAAAGACTCTCGCCAAGCTTCTGGTCTAGAAAGCACAGGGTGAGTTTGGAACCATTCCTCATTCGTTCAAAAATGCCATAATAGCCAATAGCCTTACATGAATCCACATTGGGTACAATGGAACCAAGGAAGCTTTACATCAACAAGCGAATGGACGAGCGAGCATCAACAAACACGACACTTCTGCCAAAGAACTCCTTGACGCACTCGAGTGCCAAGGAACACATCCGAGGGAAGAAACACATGCCACTTGTCGATGAAGTGGCAGTCCTCCCTCCGGAAACCCGTCAGGACTACATCAATCCTGGTTTGGGCTGGGGGAGGCGCCAGTGACAGAATCACATGTCGCACTGACAATGACTGACATGTGCAGTGCAGAGAGATGTGAGTTAACACCGAGCAACTCTCGAGGGCATGGCAGAAGGTGGCACCCTCTCTTTGTGCTCGGGCGTGGCGAAGTAGGACACAGTGGCATCGAGGTGCCTTTGTTGTAGCGCAAAACAATGATATTTGCATTGTTCTCTGGTATACAATTGCAAAGCACAAATGATTCATTGTTAGATGAGACCTGCTCAACAGTCCAATCTTGGAGCATAGCTGCATCCCCATACCTGACTGTGGTTCCCCAAACAAAAGCCATTTCCAAGTCAAGACCCTAAGCAGTGCCAGGAAATCTATGCCCCTTAAGTGGCATGGTCCAATATTTTGTAGTCAAATAACTTAATCCGCTTAATCATGTTTGCAAGCCTACAGACCCAATCTTTTCTTACGCGCCAGCCACGCCACTGCTTCACGGACACGTAGTTCCCGTGGTACAGCCGCTAGCTTGGCATCCGTGAAATCACAACGAACCCACGCATTTGCTTTAATCCTGATGTCCCCGCCAGATAGCAGTTCATCATGCTTGAGGACATACTGTTGGTCCAATCTTCTAATCGTAGCACTGGCGAGGTTCCTTATATCACACCAGTTCAACTGAAATTAACCACCTTCCAGTATATCCTATAAGATCTGATGCGCAGACAAATTTCCCTGAGATCGGCCTTGAGCTCTTCCTTCTCTTGTACCACATGTGTTCACCTCGCACCCTGAGCGCCGCGCTCGATTCCCCGTGAGGCGGCTGCAGAACCGCAGGTTGAGGGACGCTTCGAACGGTCGCGACTGACTGGTATGGGTTGGGATCCCTTTCGAACAACCACAAAATCTTCAATCACCCTCTGAAGTGGTTCGGTTTCAAAATTTCGTAAGGAGTGCCCAATGAGTTTTGGTGCTAAGAGGTGCCCAATGGGCACCCTTTGGATGTTCCTGGTATATATAATTTATAACAATATTTGTACATGCTTTGCTTAAGAAGAAAACGCTTGGTCAACCGAATTCGATCGATCTACCAATCGACCAGAAGCCACGTTCGGGAGTGACCGGGACGCTCTCGCTCACGAGTCGTTCGACTCTGCCAACGGGCACCTCAAGCCGCCCGAGACGCTTGGCGCTCGGGATCCGACCGGTGGGTCCGACCGGTGACGCCGGTTCTCCGTCCGCAATGCAGCGCTTGCTATGCTTGGTGTCCCTGGTGACGGTGTAGCTCGGCTTGCCTGTTAGCGGGATCTTCAGATCCATGAAGCGAGAGCTTGACTCTACTGGCTCGGTCTTTTTGGGCACCCAACTGGTTGGAGGGGTGTGATGGAACATGATGGAACTCCACTCTTTGTGTTTCATCGTGTTTCATTCAACCACTATCTTCACAAGGGACATCATGTGGGCCCCAAGCCTTGCCATTGAGTGAAGCAAGGCAGCAGGGCAACACGCACTTTGTGGCCAACCATGAGAATTCCAGGGACCAGGACCCACGGAAGAGGTGGTTATAACCTCTCTTTGGGGCCATGAGTTGGCACATTTGACACCCTAAACAGGGGGGAACATGCTGAGGTCCGGTATTACGCCGGTGCAGAAGGTGGGTCAGATGTTGGAGGCCATGAAGGATAAGGCCACGAAGCAGATGCAGGAGGAGCGGCTCCGCAGTGACCCGCGCCGTCCGCAGGGCAGTGACCCATGGGATTTCCTTCTTGGCGACCAAGAGCTTCTTTGGATAATTTTTGGGAGGGTGGGATTCCAAGATAGCCCCACCTCGAAATAAACATCATGAACAAGATAGCCCCACCTCGAAAGAACAAAAACACACACACACATCATGAACCATAAATGAAGAAAAACCACTATAAAAGCGCAATCATGCGGTGTACGATATACGGGCAGTGTTTTGGTCAGACGAAAGGGCCACGAATCGGAGTTCTTTTTTCGGCACGGAGGACGGAGGCTCATTGTTTTTAGCGGTCCGGTGTTGGGATAATCTACGGTTTTTTTATACGGGAACGGATGGCGCTGGAGAATGGAGATCTGTGGTTGGTTTAGGTTGGTTTGTCTTGGTTGGCCTTCCGGATTGTTTCCCTGGTGGATGTGCAGCGGTTGGCGCTTCTCTGGTCATGTTGTTCGATTGAACAAACGTGTACCTAACTTTTGGCGGATGTGCGAGCTCTTCGGATGCTGGTAGATTCTGAGGAAGAGTTGTTCCCTACTGTGTTGAAGCAGGAAAGAGCCGTGCTCCTTTGGAACCTTATTAGGGTTGATGGCCCTGAGGATTACATCTCCCGCCCTGAGAGAGGTGCCTATATACCTGACTGAACCATTCTGGGTATGGCTCTGGGGGTTGTTTGTCTTCACCATGCATTTGAGACAGGAACAAGTTCAATTTGCAAGCTACAAGCAGTTCTGCGAGCAGACAGCAGAAGAGAAAGGCCTGGCCGATGTGTCAATGATGTCATTTGCAGGCAATGCTTCACCATGTCGAAGATGGGGCATCAGATCCTTTGAGCGAGTGGGTTTCTGCTTGTTGTGGTCGATTGACCCGTCAATCCAAAAGGAATCCCCAGCTCTCGCATGAGCGGAACAAGTAGAAATCAAAACAACTCCTGGAGGCTGAAACAAGGACTCCATGGAATGCCGGTGATGCATGGGGGGCCATGTGCCATGGCCCCCATGGCTGACCTGATGTTCTTTGATGTTCTTTGGCACACTCAGGTCATCCAACTCATTGAAATTGGACCCTCACAGACCGGCGGAAGGGAGACTGGTCGAACGCGGGGTCTTCTTTGGTTTTCCCTATGGTGATGGACGAAGTTCTTTTTCTCATCGATTTATAATAACACTGCATATTTGCATACATGTCCATCGATGCCCATTTGGGATTGCGGATCAACTTTTATGATATTTGGTTTTAGACCTGCGAAGACAGCAAAACTTGATGGCACGAACGGGTTGAACACCACACGGCAAATTGTGGTAGATTTGAGCTTACCCGACTGGGTTCCAGAGTCGATGGTGGTCGCTCTTTGGTTTTGCTTTGGTTGGTGAAGTTCACTTGATTTTGGGCTTGGCAAAATTTATCATCCAAGGTTCTGCTGGGTCTCTTTGGATCCCGGAATGGCCATTCCCCAAAGTGTTAGGCGACCCCTCGGAGCGCGTCGTTCGTGCGTGGAGTTCCCCTCAGCCTCAGCCAGGCCGCTCCATCAAGGAGGCCTCAGAAAAAATCGAGACCCTGGACGCTGATATCGAAGCTGCCACGGCGGAATCCAACCGTTGCTCGGCCGGAAGTTCCAAGGTCGGGGAGAGACAGGAAGATGGAAAAGCATGGAAACACGGCCCCTTTTGATGGTATTGTTTGCAGCGAGTTGGGTCGATTCACCAGCTCTTCGTGGTCAAAGTCATGCGGTTTTTGGACGACCATCGTCTTTCACAACTGGTTGTCTTTTCATGGGTCACCGGTCATGAACAGAATCGACTTCCACAAGAACTGGTGTTCATTCCGACAGAGACACCCCGTGCGAACATCGGTTTTGACCCCGGTGAGAGAAAGTGTCCGGCCAAGAATCTCTATCCGTGGCCTCGGCCACACCTGACCCGTCACACCGTCACACCCGAGGCCTCGGCCAGGAGATCGCGCAGCATTTGGCCGATCTGGAGGGTGCCAACGGGGAGAAGGCCAAGGCCACCGGGCTCCGCGAGAAGGGCCGAGCGGACTTTGTGGCGACCTTGAAGGAGACTGCGGGATAGGGAAGGAATGGAGGTGGAGGGCAGGATGGAACAGGATGCTCCAAGATGGAGAGCTTCACAGGGTGCTTGAGAGAACACACGTTCACTGTTCACTTCTTCAATATGTCATGATATCTCCGCTGGAGTCATGGCACAGCTGAGCAAGGACTTCTGAACGGCTCTGGTCTTCAATGATTGGATTTGCATGGATGTGCAGTTGCTCCCAATTATACAGACAAGAACAGTTCGGGTTACAAATGAATGAAGTGAGTCAACAGCATGGTGCCAGCTTGGGGCGACAAGAAGGTGATGGTCCTTTGTCAGAACCAAGCTGCTCGCATCTGCTCGCAGAGACCAGAGATTTAGGGTCATTCTTCCCAGGAGATTTGGCAATTCCTTTGTGGCAGGAAGGCCCCGAAGTGTCCCCAAGGTTTGGTCATTTTTTCCCAGCAACACAACAGTAACAGCATGTCAGTTTTCTGAAACATGTCAGTCGTTTTATTCAACAGCCACGTACCAGCGCCATCCCGTTCGTTTTTTTCCGCTTCCATCCAAAGCCCATCAATCGATCAGGACTACAGTGAGTCCATTGATGCCATCGGTCGTGCACTGAAGGTTCTGAAGGAGGAGAAGCAGTGCCTTGGCCATTGGCCTGGCTGGACCTTTACAGCATTGAATGAAATTTGTTATATACATTATACATATATAATCATATATATATATATACATTATATAACATTACAGATAACTGTTTTCTTTTTGTGATGGAACATCTACTTCATAACACTTTAAAGTCTGAAAAAGAGCATAGACCACCGAAGCTTTCCAGGAACCATGATAGATCTTCATATGCATTTCTTCTTGATTTCTCACACCAGCCCGTTGTTTGCACCCGTTTTTCCCATGCGCCGTGTCCTTGGTCCTGTCTCGGCTCCATCCCTGGCCTCAGGTCCACGGCCTTGGTGGAGCTCTCGGCGGTGCGAGGCCTCAAACTTGTGCCGGCCACGGCGGCCAGCAGCATCGACGCCTACTTGGCGCCGCCCGCCGCGGCCGCCGCGGCGCCGCGCGGAGGCTCGCTCCTCGAGGCGCGGCGCGCGCGCGACACCGGCGCGGCGGTTTGGACAAGACGACGTGCGCGCGCGTTTGGGAGCGACCAAAACGACGTGAAAGAGAGGTATAACTCGGTGTAACCATGTCTGATATTACATCGATCTATGCAATAAGCTTACCAGATTATGGCGATCGCATGGTTTTGGGTTTCCTCACTTGTGGACCGTCTAATCTTCCCGCCTGCTCCTTTTACTTCCCCCTTTGGCTCCTCAAACCGCCCTCACTTCATTTGTGTTCACCTGGATTTGCCCGCCGTTTTCCGGCGCCGTTGCTGGCCGCCGTGCCCCGCCGAGCTGGGCCGTGACACGGTAGACGTCTGCAGGCACCCGAGCCGAAGACCTATGAGTTTCAGTCCGGCGGGGTGACGTGGCGGTCGTGAGTTGATCGTCTCTAGTATGTTGCGACGAGATGAAAGTGAAGCAAAGCAACAGGCAGGTACTCGTAGCATGGCATGCCGCGGGGCTCTAAGGGGTATGTAAATCATGTTTTATTGAAATCCAAAGATCCTTGGGGTGATCAAATTCAGACATCGATATGTTTGCAGGGGATTATTTTCTTCATGGGTCACTTTTCCAGCCCTAAGGGAAGGAAGGAAGGAAGCCCAGACACACCTGTTTTGCCGTCCCGTGAAGGCAGCCAGGAAATGAAATGGGAGAGAGGAGGCCCCCTTTATATAGTTGCACGGCTGAGGTGATTAGCATGCTGGAAGGTTTGCAGGACAAGTTTGTCGATGAGCGAATCAGCTTAGAAAAAGAGGAGGCGGCCAAGAAGCACTCCTATGAAGCTTGGAGGAAGGAAAAAACAAACAGTCGCTGCATTTTTTGGGAGATCCTAATGCCTCACGGTGATGCTTTTGCCTCAACAGACACGCCGGCTTCGCCGCGGAGTTTATGACTGTTAACGATGTGTTTAAACCTTAGATCCCGCTCAAAGATCCGAAGAGAATGCAGCAAGTCTTGGGAGTCACAGGAAGGGCTGGTGCGACTGGTGGACGCTGGAAAGCAGGAAACAAGGAAACAAGCAACCATCCTATGATTCTTCCATGGATATGAATGTGAAACAAGTCTCTATAGACATCTCACTGCTTGTCCGTTCTTATGTGCGCTCCCGAGATCCGCCGAGGAAATGCTTGTTCAGAGCTTGGATGCACAGTTGGCGCAGTCCAAGAAGGAGCAAACTCAGAAGAGCCAGTTCCAGGCGCTTCCCTTCGCCTCGCCCCTGATTCGCTCTAGCGCCAACCCGTCCCTCCTGCCCACCTCACCTCGCACCTCGAAAGCGAACTCCGCGACGGGCCGCGGAAGGCGACGAGCTTCGCCTTCCTTTCGCCCCCCTTTGGCCGGTGCAGGCGAAGAAGCTTCAGTTCAAAGCGACCATGGAAGGCGAGTTGGAGGAGACGAAGTCGGAGAAGGCGTGGGGCCGGGCTGGGAGCCGGAGGGAGCTGTGAACCACAAGGGAGGGAGATGGAGGTAGCTGTGAAGGAGTGGTTTCGACTGCCGTTCAGTTGGTGGGACCCGTGAAAGAGGACGAAGGATGGACCTGGACCTATACAGAATGTAGAAATAAGATGCAAAAAGATGCAATAAGGATAAGCAGAGAATGATGGAGCTGGACAACATATTGTGAGTTTTTCTTTTTAACTGAGCAATATCGTCACTTTATTGAATGTGCGGGTTTCTGAACACCCGGGGCTTAAGCTCATCAGCCTGTGGGTTTGAACCACAGGGAGGATTCAGCACTTATTTCAAGGCAAGAAGAGGCTGGATCGTGTAAAGGACTTCCTTATGACTGGTCAGACTGGTCATACCATTTGGTGAAAAGCTCCTGTGACTCTGAACGAACTGGTCCGGCTCGGTCTCCGGCACTTCATCTCGGTCTCTCTCACGTCTTCTTTTGAAAACACCGGTTGGCACCGTCTCTGGTGCTCACCGGCACTCCGCGGTGTGGCCCGCACCCTCGGTGCTCGCCTACGCAGGCCACGGATGAGAAGTATGCAGAAGATCTCAAGGCCCGCGGGAGTCTCGCCACCGAGTCTCTGAACAGTTCGGTGGTCTCGTCTTTTTTTCATGGGAGGGAGCAATGTGAGAGCTGATTTTTTCATGGGAATATGAAATAGCATGGTGGTCCGTCAGGTGGTCATATGTCATTATGTGTATACGATTTCGTACTATTAAGTACCATGTGCTGTTCATCGCCACCTGTTGTGCCGGTCGACCGCGAGGCTCGTCTCGGGGGCGAGACCAGTCGTCCCCGGAGCGGAAAAAGGGTTTTGCTGGGAGTCTCCACGGCTGACAGTCCAGCCGGCGGTTGCGGGGACCAAAACCCACAACGGCCGAAGAGCTGGTAGTTGTTGTGGACGTTCTTCAAATTGAGGTGTTGTTTGTCATGAACAGTCGTGAACAGTAAGACAAGTAAGAACATCAGCAATGGTTTTTGGACCAAGAGAGGCGAAAAAACAACCATAAGGCTGTCAGAAGTTCCAATCTCAACTACGGCCCACTCTGTCACAAGTCTTGAGGTGCTGTACCAGGGGCCCCTTAAGGAATGTCTAAAGTGGTGTCTAATTGTAGCTCCTTAGAGGTTTAGGGGTATTCATTAACCACCCCTTAGGGGGCTCTGGTATTGTCCATACAGCGTGTTTCACCTAGTGCTCAAGAACGATCCTGTCATTGAGATCTCTTGGCGTTCTAGAGACATTCTCGTGCCCAAATTGCACATTCCATGGGACTGCCATATTATACATTGGGGTGGTTGACTGGGGGTCAATGCAGGGAAAGATGCCAGTCCCAACCCACCTTCCTTTGTCTTAGAGGGTTGGCTGGCCCCTCGAGGTTGTCACCCCCCAACAAGGCCATCGATGGAATCGCAGTACTATGGGATCATATGCAAATAAAAAGCGCATCATGTGACTGCAGTGTAGTGTCACCGCTCCATAGTTCTCCAATTTTTTCTTGCGCTTGAAAGGGGTGGTTCATGAAGTATCCCTCAACCTTTTGAAGGGCTGGACCACCGAAACAACACATTAAACACACGTCGGCAGACTTTCTGGCACTGTTCAATGGGATCCATGATATCTATCAGGGTTCCGGTATGTTGTATTTCAATAGGGAGACAGCCTGGCCCTGGCTGGGTAGACTGGTCTATTTTCCGTCTTCCTGGGGGTCGGAACGCGGTTCGGCCTCCCTATTTGAGCCACACGAGCTCATTCTTGTTCCTTAAAGCGCTCGCTAAGCGCCCGGCTGCCGCGCTCGCTGTCCGCGCTGCCCCCCCCCAGGCCACCTGTGAGAAGAAGTCTGCGGCCTTTGATGCACGCCAGAAAATCCGAAAGGAGGACCGAGAAGAACCGGACTCTGCACCCCAGTCACAAGGGAAAGTCGGGGTGCCTGAACGAGCTTGGGGAAAGTCGGAGTGTCCCCTGTCACATCCACGACCCCCTGGATGGGATGAAACAGCACCCAACTCCATGTGACCCCTGGTCACTGGTCTAGATCTTTTGAGGTTTTTGCTCGGCTCCACATGGCACGCGATCCCCAGACCACGCCACCGCAGGAGTTGGAGGCCTTGTCCAAGGCACAGGACATCATCGCCAGCGGCGCGGTCAGCGGCTCCGCCGAGTGCCCTCGGTGGGAAAGAAGCGACCGGTGGGGAGCGACCGTGAAGCACGGGGGTGCCGGGAAGAGGCGGAAGAGACTCCCCCCGGAAGTAGCTACTGATAGCTTCTTGGTAGTAGTAATGGCCTCCAACCTAATAGCGATGGCCTCCAACCTAGTAGATTAGGAAGGAAGGGGAGGTTCTCCCAACCCCAACTCCCGAGTTTTGGAACCCACTGTTTTGTCTTTTTGGATCCTGGCTGATGGCCAGATCAGATGTTTTATGATGTCACACCTTGGTTACCAACCTTGGTTCTTATTGTATTTCGTCAAATTTCGATGCATATTTCAAGATGTGCTGTTGGAACCCCGTTTTCTCAGTCGGTGTCGTCTCGATGGTGTTCAGTCGACGTCCGGCCGTCCTGAAGTCCTGCCGCTTCAGTCGACCGTGCTGCCGTCTTGAAGTCCCGCGTCGATTTCCACGCCCCACGCGGCCGGGCCAAGAGTTCACTCGACCTCCCACAGCAGCTGGCCGCGCTCAGGAAACACTTGCCCAAACTTCTGCAGACAACCTCCTTGGCCTCTCTCCGTTCCAAGGCGCCCGAGCAGGCGCGACTGCGGAGGACGGACAGGGTTTTCCGACGGCGTCAAACCTGGGAAAGAAAGCGTTTTCAGAGGGGGAAACTGTGTTGAGGTCGGTGGGATGTGAGACTCAGAGGTGGGGTATGAGGCCGAATCATGCCGAATCAAGTTGAGTATTTAACCCCCGGACAAGCAACTGGATTTGAGCAAACAGCTTGGGTCTGAGATGAAGTGATGCAGTGCACCATCAATTGCCATCTTGAAGGGCCTTTTTGAGTCTCGATGGCCGATTCCAACAGCTGCCAAGCTTGGGCTTGAGAATCCACACATTTCAATGCGTCCAGGAACCCCGCAAAGACGGAGACTCCCTTTTCCATCGCCCAAGTAGATCCACTCGCGTTGATCGGCCCGACCGTCCTGACCACTTTGGAAAGCACGGTCTGGGGCAGCTCAGCCGACTGCCGCCCAAGCCCGCCGACTTCCGCCCATCGCTGGATCCCGATCCGACCACAAGCGCGGTGTTTTTGTGTGTGTTTTTGGTCGGTTGATGCAGTCCAGCTGCGCCCAGCAGCGGGTTTTTTCGAGGTGGCACGCTTTCTGCAGCAACGGGCCACGGAACTCAACAGCCGCGTGCTCTCAGCTGCGGCGGCGCGCGTGGGCGCGGACCCCATGGCCAAGGCGGATCGGATCGGCGCATGGGAGCGGTGGATGCCATCAAGGAAGCTCATCCCACCTGAGAGAGTGATCTGGCCCCCCAAAAACTGGGAGAGACTATCTCACTCTGGTTTGTGTGCCATGAGGGATTGGTTTTGACCGGATCCCCCCCCTTAAAATTGTCTGATATGCATTCAAGGCCTGATCAGTGATGGATTGCTTTTACCTTCGTTGTGCTTGGAAGACCTTGGATTGCCCAAAACTTCTTGTGTTCTCCCGAGTGAAAACGAGCCGCCTGTCGCGGGATCGCCCGCTGTTTTCGTCGTTTCTTGGCCCTGAAGAGCTCGATTGGAATGGAGCTCGATATAGCTCAACTCCGGATTAAGATGCAAACAGTTTGACGCAGAACAGTTGAAAAGTTCAATCATGTTCAATCAACATGTCTCATATTTCTCCCAAACATGCTTCGGAGGGAAGTCAACTCTTCGAAGAACCTTCCGTGGACTGTGGGTCACTCCGTGAGCAAGGAACCTTCCGGTGGACGGCGGGGTTCCTACCTGGCAGCTGTTCCATTTTTCAGGTGAAGACAATGATCGAGCAGCTCATTACGAAGATGCAGGAGCAGGTTGGGGTGAAATGATGGCAGAGTTCGTGTGTTGCGATCTGCGGATCAAGCCACGAAGTGAAGACTTAAGACTTCAATCAAGCCAGAAGAATCTCAGATCGACAGCCTTGCACAGTTTTGGGATCGGGATGTGTTTGGATCATTTTGGCTCAAAAGGTGTGGTGATGATGCCAGTGCTTTCCTTTCAGCGCTTCCACCCTCGCGTTCTTGCTACAAGTCAACGACTCACTCTTGGATCAATTGCCCAGTTCACCCCGTCGACGTTGGTCGCGCCGGTTGAACCCCACCGTCGCCCGGTGTTTCGCCAGGCCAATGAGGAGGCCACGAAGAAGGGCTGGTGCGACGCAGAGCTGTCGACCAACAAAGCGACCCGTGAGGAGAAGACGGACGCGGCCGACGCACTGAAAGCCGAGATCGAGGATCTCCAGTCGGCCATCGTCAAGTTGGGTGAAGAGGTGCGCAGCGGTGAACTACCCTTCACGGCGGTTCATGGGATGAGAGGATGATTAGTGATTAGGGGATATTAGGGGTAAGTAGTGGACATGGTCTCCATTGGCATTACCTTTTTTGGGGTATAGCAACAGGTCCAGGTGAATTTGGACACGGTAGAAGTATTTGGAACTGACACATCATGAGGCAAAGGAAGCAGACTCTTCACAAATCATTGTGCATTGTTTTATTCTTGAGTCAGTTTGCTGCCAAATCAAACTAGTATAGGATGCATGTTTTTTTTGATGGAAGTGCTGCTTCCGTCACTTTGATGAATATCGAAAGTAGCGTAGGTAGCCCGGAAACAAGTGTGCCCTTCTTGGACTTTGGCTGGAAGAGCTACTGCTTCGTCATGCTGCAAGAAGCTTTGTTCACAGTCAACATTGTCAAAAAACATATCGAGTCCCTGCATGTTGCACATGTTTCTCGCACTCTTTTATGGGAGAACGCCTTGGTTGATCCATGAAGTGCTTCAAACATTGGATAGCAGAAGTGCAGACACTGATTTGTGCAAGCGGCGCTTTAAAATGCTTAAAGGCACGAGCCCAGGGGTGCCCATTGATCTCAGGGTGGCCCAAAGGCAGATGTATACGGGCACAAGATGGCAAAAGGACCAACCTGCAGGTGTTCAATGGGTCTGCTGCAGTAGTAGCAACACCGCAGCGGCGCCGCCTGAACATAATATGACCGCCCTGCTAAGCAGGCCAGGGAAACAATTGACCTTCTGGACTGTGCCGGACCTCCATCCAGAAACCACAGCGTGTCAATAGGTGCAACGGGGTCACAGGGAGACCAGGCAGCAGTCATTTGTAGGATTAATCATGGTTGCCCGATTACGCGGCGCCGACATCCGCAGGCAAGCCTGAAACCGTTGGCGCTGCTCCTAGGTTTGTATCAGTCCTTCCAAGTTGACCATCAACGTAGATCGAGAAGAACGCACTTACATGGTTGTGGATCATGGCACCAGGAGACCTTGATTGACCTACCTGCTGGACCCGCCGACCTCGCGATTTTCAGGGTGGATGACTGACGACCCATATATCTCGGACGGCCTTTTCCGGGAACCACCGACTGGACCCATCCCATCCATCGTGCGGCTTCATGGCGCCGGACCCCGGTCCGAGCTCCGTCGGGTCGTTCACAGCCGTCGCGACCAGATCACCACGCTGAACTCGGAAGTGACCGAGTTGAACAGCGCAATGGCCAACGCCACGGCGATGCGCAAGAAGGACAACATGTGTTTTGCGCATTTTTGTGTGTGTGTGTGCTTTCCCGCCAGTCACGTGTTTTTGTTCGTTCAGCTCACTATAGTTATATGTTAGTTGCAAGGGGACCAGAGTAAGGACCCACGTACTGCGAGTGATGGTCCAACGAAGCGGCGGCATGCACTAGATGCCCTCGGTTTCTCGGCCAAGCCGAGAACTGCACTTATGACATGTCATGTTGGATCGATATAGATAGATGTCATTTTCTCGTGCTGTCAGGTGCAGTTTTGGACTCACAGGGCCATGGCAGACTTCACCATGAAACTCCGTCCACATCCCTCCGATATCCAGTGTTTTTCAACAGATGGATCCAATGTGCGGATCCTCAAGGCAGTGTTTTCAGCGAGGATGGATCCGATGTCACGAGCACAGCTGTCAGATGTCATACACGCGGGACGTTTTGTGCCGTGTAGTGTTTTGGGGAGTTTCGGTCGGGGGTCAACTCAATCGGCCATCATGTTTAGCTGGCTTACTTCTCAGGAGAACATAAGCTGAACATGCTTTGGTGCAGCTACTCGAGCTGTCGTAGAATGTCGTGGTGATCGTTTACGCCCACAGAATCGCCTCTGTTGGGATTTAGGTCCTATACACCTCCTTGCATGTGTTACCTGATGTAGTTGTAAAGATTGAGACTGAAAACCAAAGGGTTGCATCTGCAGCCCCTCTTCGTTTCAAGCTAAAACAGCCGAGCGTGCGTTGTTTCATGGTAGCGGGGCCCGGTGTGGCTCAGTGATCTCGGGTGGCTCCGAGTTCACAAGTGCCTTGGCGGGTAGCACCGCCTCGGCACGTGCCTTGGCGGGTGGTCCCGCCTCGGCACAATACCTCCAAAGAAGAAAGGAGGTAAGAAGAGGCGAGGTCCTCGCTCCGCAAAAAGGGTCCAAGCTCGCATAGAGCGAGGAACCCAGAGGCGCTTGGATCGAATCCAAGCCAAGGCCGAGAAAGAGCGCCCGCTGTTCCTAGGCCCAGGGAGCAGCTCTAGGGAACAGGGCATAACCAGGTTCGTTGTGGTTGAAGAGCCAGAACCACCTTCGACTGGTATTGTCCTGAAAGAGCCAAGCCAGACAAGGAGAAGGCGACGGAGAAAACGAAGCCGATCAGCCGAGAAGGAAGAGGAAGGGAACGAAAGTACCTTGCCTAGGTCACCAACGAGGGCTCCAGCGAAGACTGAAGAGCTTCCTGGGAGAAAGAACCGCCTTCGGCTACGATCGGCTGAACCTCGTCAGCAAAAGGTCAACAAGTTGCATCAGAGCCTCAAGTTTGCTTTGAAGGAAGGAGGCGATAAGAAGAAAGAGTGGAAGAGCCTTCAATTCCACCAGCGCGTGGCTTGGAGAAGCGAGTGGACTAAGAAACTTCCAAAAGGTTCAGTGGGAAGTTCAAGCAACATCGAGCTGCCAGCCGACTGCAGTTCGTGTGAAGAGAAGACTATTGCTAGCAGACCTTTCGTGCGTGAATTCGCTCGTCGTCGTGCTCAAGGCCTACCTGGACTTCCAGAGAACCAGAGAAAGTCCAAGATTGCATCATTGGCTGTGTATCGGCCACCAGCTGCAGAAGAGGGCGAGGAAGAAGACCCTGAAGAAGACGATCCAGTGATTGATCGAGATCCAGGTTCGGATGTCGACTATGGAGGAGGGACAGACAGAGATGTCCCAAGTGTTGTCGTTGTTGCAGCAGCTTAGGCAGCAAGTGACTGACCAACAGAGTCAGATCACGCAAATGCAAGTTGTACAAACGAGAGTACGCGGTGAAAGTGAGCTTTCAGGTACGGTTCCAACCTCCCAACTCATCCAAGACCTGAGAAACCAAACAACAGCTGGTTCAAGTTCAACAAACCCAACTATGACCATCGACGCACGTAGCATTGGTAAACCAGACAGCTTCAAGGGTGACCCAAAAGAGTATGCCGATTGAAGTTTTGTTTTTAAGGCTTACATGTCATGCATCTCAACAAGATACATCGAGTTGTTTGAGAGAATTGAAAGTTCTTGGGTTCCAATGCCCAACCGATTGATGGGTGAAAATGACAGAGCTTTGTCAACTCAGATGTACTATGTACTGGCAATGCTTGTCAAAGGCAGGCCACTGGACATTATCCAGAATTCTGGTCCTGGTGAAGGTGTTGAAGCTTTTCGTAAGTTAGAAGAAACCTATCACCCCAAGATTGCCAGTCGTTTCGTTGGTAGCTTGGCATTGATTTTGGCAACCAGGTTTGGCAGTGACATTGAAGCTGAGCTTGAACTGTTTGAAAAGAACATCCGTAGATACGAGCAAGAATCCGGTAAAGCGCTGGATGATGAGATCTTGCTGGGTGTAGTGATCAATGGACTCCAGGAAAACAGCATGAGGGATCATATCATCAGAAACGCAACTCGTCTCACAAGTTATCAGGCTGTTAGATCCGAACCTTAGACCACTTGGCTCGTACGAGCCGGCGTTCTGCACATACGTTTTAAAAACTTACGTTCTGGAACGCTACGTTCCACCCAGATCCTTTTTTGTAGACAGCAGGCACTGATGTAAATCCTGTTTTTGCTTCGGGACGTACATCGGTTTCAGCTCAATGGAGCCATCTGTTGGCTCAAAATGGTCGAGCAGGCTTGTGGTAGTTGGGAAAAGGTAAAGCCATGTCAGCCAACGGACCTAGGGTTCAAAACCACACAAATCTGCAAAATCCATTTTCCAAGCCCCCCAAAAAGGATTCGGGCCTTCTTACATGGTCAAACAATCATCACCAGATGGCCCAGATCCCTTTTTTTCTGCCTCCCGAAAAAGGATCCGGGGCTAAGAGGGTCCAACAAGATCATACCCACATCCCTTTTTTAGGCCTCTCCAAAAAGGATCCGGGGTTTCGAGAGGGTGCAAGATCATCGAGTGCTCGGCAGGACATACAAAGCCAGGTTGAAAAGAAAACGCGCCAAAGCGTTTGTGAAGGAGGCGCAAATGGCGGCAAAAGCCAAAGGCTGGCTACCGAGAGTCCGCAGGCTCAGGACAGTTCGCAAAACAAGGTTCAATTCGAGGGTTCTCGTGCTGGATGCGTTCCTGTCCAATGTGATTCTGATGCGAAAGGTGCTTAGGAGCAAGGCCTTTCAGGAGTGCATCAAGGCATCTAAAGAATCGTCACAGAAGAAGCTCGACGCCCACTTGAAGACATGGGTTGCTGACGCGCCATATTTTTGTGCTCGAAAAGCGCTGTTGATCAGCGGTCCAGTAGCATCTCTTTGTCGAAAAGTGGCTGGTGAAGATTTCTTCATAGTCTACCCTGTTTGGCTAGAAGCCCGCTTAGAGGTGGCAAAAGCAGTGGAAGATCAGGACTTTGCAGATGTCACCAAGAAGGAAGATGCAGCCGCAGTGTCTGCTCGCCGGGAGAAAGTGGCCGTGATCCTGGACAAGCGCGGTGAGTTGTGGATTTCCATTTGTCTCCAGAAGGCTCACAGGTGCATGCTGAAGCGCGGCAGTCAGCCGTCCATGCGACCATGACGCAGTTTGTTTCGCTCTTTTGGCCTGCGCAGGAGACTTCATTGCTCTCTCACGTCTATCTGGTTCTTGTTTGAGTTTCAGAGCAAATCCTCTCTGTGTCAAAAAAGATCATCCCCAGATCCCTTTTCTAAGCCTACCCAAAAAGGATCCGGGCTTTCTTAGAGGGTCAAAAAGGATCATACCCAGATCCCTTTTCTAGGCCCCCCAAAAAGGATTCGGGAAAACGCCAATTCACAATTGTCTCCTCGCGTAAAGAAAGAATAGCAAACTTGCACGAGGAGCAGAAGGCCGTGGCTACCAAAGCCATTGACGATTTCTTGCATAGAAGAGATGCTTTCAGGAATGTATCCTACCCACCGCGTGCGGCTCCAAAGTCAGAAGTCGTTTCATGGTACCGGTCTACTCAGCCTTCCTTTGTTCTTCGGACGATGGGCCTTTGGCTGTCGGCCTTGCGCTCAACGCAAGGGCAGTCGGAGAGATTGTGGGCCCTCACATCTCGCCACGCCTCCCCCACCCGCAACCGACTCAAGGCAGAGAGCAAAATCATGATTACCAACATAGCTGCCAACTGGAGGTTGGTCTATCCTGACGTGTCTGGATTGCATCTCAATTCCTTTTTTCGGACTTGCTGAAAAGGATTCGGTTGATGGGCTGTTTTGAATCTTGGAGGTGTATATATTCAATATTGTATATATATGTATATATATATATATATCATCAATATTTTTTGTTATATACATTGTATACTAGACAATCAAGTAGCCAAATTCCCGAATCCTTTTTCCCTGCAGCGAAAAAGCGGGATGGGCAGCTGAGGCTCCGAATACCTACAAGAAACGAAAGCGTTCAGGTCCTGAATGGGTGGCGCCGGTGATCGAGCGGAAACGTGTGGTGCCAGACCCTGTTCCAGCTCCAGAAGAAACCCAGGAAGATGATGCTTCCAGCACCACAAGCTCGAGCAGCAATTCTTCGTGGGAGAGCGGCGCTCCATGGGCTGAAGACGAGGAAGAGAATGTGCAGCGAGAGACGGAGGCTGAGCAGGCTGAGCTGCTGCTAGACGAGCAGCAGCTAGCCACGGAAGCTGAGCTGCTGGCTGATTTTGAGCGATTCTTCGCCAGCGTGAAATAAACAGCTTTGAGAGGGAGTTTCTGGGGGAAGGGCAGGAATTCTAAAGTGTCTAAGGAATCCTTTTTGGGTCGCGCAGTGTTCCAAAAGAGCCCCAGGTGATAACTTCCAAATCCTTTTTGCTGCTCGAGGGAAAAGGTTCCGGGAAACCACCACAGAACACGTTCAGAACGTACGTTCTGAATGCAACGTTCTACGTTCCACGTCCCGGGTGGTCTAAGATCCGAACTCCTTGAAATTGCCAGGACACGTCGTGTCCTGAACCAGATGCCTGCACCAATGGAGATAGGTGCAATCCCCAAGGGCAAGGGCAAGCAGCCCAAAGGAGGTGGTAAAGGAAAAGAAAGCAAAGGTAAAGGCAAAGGTTACGGGGGAAAAGGTGAAAACCAATCTGGCAAAGGAAAGAGTTCCAATGGCTACCAAAATCCTAACAAGGATAAAGAGTGTCATTACTGTCACAAGAAAGGCCATCTGAAGCCAGATTGCCGTCAACGAATGAAAGATGAAAAGGGGAAAGGCAAAGGGGGAAAGATGAGCACTGCGGCAGTGCCTCAAGAGGAACCCCAGAGCGAACCCCTATCTGCAACAATTGCAGATGAGTCTGATTCGTTGATTGCAGGAGTCTTCAACTCCCAGATGATTCTAGTTGACACTGGTGCTGGTGCACACATGTTTAGCAAAGATGTCGATCCCCATGCCCAAACAAAACCTCCAGTCACGAAATCCAACCTTGTAACCGTTACAGGTGAACCACTTGCCATGGGGTCTAGAAAGAAAAGCCTGATCGAGACAGAGTCCAAGTTTGGTGACTCATGTCAGTTCACGGTTGAGTATGATGAATCAGGAAAGATGCAGTTCAGCGTGTTGTCAGCTGGTAAGTCAGCAGATGTTGGTGTTTGGACAGTTATTAGTCCTGAAACTCAATTTTTAATCAGGTCTGGTGATACCCCAAAGGTTCATCAAATGTTGAACAGTTTGAACACCATTCCGTTGGTCAAGAACCGTGGTGTCTACTGGTTACCAACCAAAGTCTTAGAACAGAAGACAGCGGGTGGCACCGCTAACCCAGCGGGTGGCACCGCGGGAACCTCGGCGGGTGGCGCCGCCGGTTGTCTCGGCGCTCTTAAGGCTGCTGTCAAAACCGTTCCAGCAAAGCTACTGGAAGAGGAAGAAGGCGCAGCTCAGCCGAGCGGAGAAGGAATGGCTTCGGGAAGTTCCGGTTCGGGTTCTGGTTCTAGTAGTGTTCCCGTTGTTGTTGATATTGAAATCCCCAGGGATGACGCTCAGGTTGAGCAGTCTGAAGAAGGTAGAAAACCCAGAGCCAAGAAGATCCCAGAAAACGTTTCATCTGAAGAGTTTCATGCACACATGCTCACACACATCCCAATGCGTTCATGGTGCGACCACTGTGTTAAAGGTAAGTCAAGGGAAGATGACCACAAACCTCGTGTGGAGAGCAAAGACCCAAACGAAGTTCCAAGAGTGTGCATGGACTACTGTTTTTTGGGTCGTGTTGCCAAAGGAACTGAGGCAGTTCCTACAGATGATGCTTCCTCGTTGAGGAAAACGACTGATGATGCAGAATCTGCAACGCCTGTGTTGGTGATTGTTGACGAGCGTTCTGGTTGTATTTTCTCTGGTGTTGTTAGTGAAGGTGTTAATCCTCATTCCCTTCACTTAGTCACTGAAGCGTTGAAGTTTTTAGGACGAAAGAAAGCAATCCTATTTACTGACGCAGAGGAAGCGGTAGCCAAAGAGTATAAAGGAGATGTTCAGTTGATGACGGCTCCTCGTGAGAGCCATGCCAGCAATGCCATTGCTGAACGTGGAGTCCTAGAGCTTGCAAAGCAGACCAGAACTCTTGTGAGCTCAATTGAATCAAAGTTCAAGGACAAGGTCCCTGACTTCAAGGTGCTTCCAGGTGAGAAATACTTCCCATGGATTGTCAGGCATGCAGCCTGGTTGCTCACAAGGTATCTTATCAAGAAAGACGGTAAGACACCTTATCAGAGACTGCGTGGAAGGCAGTACAATGGTGAGATTGTAGAACCGTTTGAGTTCACACACTTTCGCCTTTCGACAGGCGAACGTGGAAAGTTGGACAGCCAGACATCGACAGGAGTCTGGCTAGGCAAAAGCCTGAGTAGTGATGAGCACCTCATTGCCAGTGAGAAAGGTGTGAGAAGGTGCAGATCAATTTGGCGTGTCCTTGAGACACGTCGATGGAACAGCAAATCCTTTTTGGAATGGACAGGGTTACCCCTGGAAGAGGTAAGCGTGGTGTCTATATCACAGTGGGCCAACAGCTCAAACATGGAGCTACAGGAGGTTGCCCTGGATGTCATTGTTCGGATGACGATCCGAAGCCGCGCAACAAGGAATGTCGCGCAAGGTTTGAATCCCTTATTGCCAAAGAAAGGGAAACGAAAGATCCTGCAAAGGATGTGGAGATGGGCGCTGGTGGCTCTGCACCATCTCGGGCGGGTGGCACCGCTCAGGAGAAGGAAGCGGGTGGCACCGTTTCCGGAGGTGGCCCCGCCACCTCCAGCGGATCACAAGATTCCCATGAAGCCGAAGCTAGCGGCGTTGCTTCAAATGGTTCCGCAGGAAAGGAAGCAAAGAGATCTAAGTCAGATCCAGCTCCACAATCAGGACAGAAACGAGGCCCTGAGACAACAGTACTTGAAGCGCTTGAAGTTGGCGATGATGTCGATCGTGACTTGTTAGCCTGCGTCTTGGAAGAACGTGATGAAAAAGACACAGAAGATCGCCCTACTTTGCATTGCCTTCCAATAGCAAGCTATCCCGAGTGGGTCCAACTTGAGACCATATATGATGAGAGAACCGGTGAAGTTCTCGAAGAAGAGAAGGTCAAGAAAGGGCTCGGGAGATGAACAAGATGGAAGAGCATCAAGTAAAAGTTGACATGCCCATGGATGAAGTCAAGAGGCGTGGACTGAAGATTGTGAGATCCAGATGGATCGACGCAAGGAAAGCCTTGCCGGATGATGATCGGGGAGTCCGATCCCGACTGGTTGCGCAAGAGCTGAACTTGGGACCAAGAGATGACACTTTCGGTGGAACACCACCTTTGTGGGTTCATCGCCTAATTGTGTCAAGTGCAGCAACCAAAAGAAAATCAGATCGTGGCCAAAAGCGAATCATCAGCAGATATGATGTGTCGGTGGCATTTTCCCATGCCCCATCGACAGGTGGCATTGCTGTAATGCCTCCCAAGGACATGTTCGACGGCACGAACTTGTGGTTTCTGCTGAAAGCCATGAACGGAACAAGAGAATGCAAGCAAGCAATGGAGCTTGTGCATTCGAAATGGACTCACGCCTGCAGGGTTCTTAGCCTCTGCAGCAGTCCCTGGACTGTATTATCATCCTGAGTGGGATGTTACAGTAGCATGCCATGGAGATGATTTCATCGCAGAAGGTCTCGCAAGGGACCTCGACAAGCTCAACGAATTGATGCGAACAACGTTTGAAGTGAAAGTCCTGCCCAGGATCGGGGATCCTGAACATGGAGGGGAAGTCCAGGAAGGGACCCACCTTCATCGTGTGATCAAGTGGAACAAAGATGGATTCACTTGGCAGGCAGATCCAAAGTATGCCAAGCAGTTGGTAAAGGATATGGGCTTGGAAGGCACCAAAGGTGTCGAGACGCCAGCTTCCAAAGAGACGGGAAAGAATGAGAGAAATGTCAATGAGCCACTCTCCGAGAGTGGTACGCGAGAGTTCAGAAAACAGGCTGTCACTGGATAGGCCGACCATCCAGTCCGCAATGTCACAAGTGAGCGCAGGAATGTCACAACCGACTGAATTACACTCACTTCCAGCTGAAACGTCTCGTCAGGTACCTTGCCAAGTATCCAACAGAGATCTGGAAATTTGACGAACAGGAAACGCCCAAGCGTTTCTACACGTACAGTGATTCGGATTGGGCTACCTGCAAGAGCAGCAGGAAAAGTATGAGCTGCTATGCCTTGCGATATGGACAACACTTGTTGGAAACAAGTTGCGCAAAACAGTCTTGTGTAGCACTTAGCTCCGGAGAAGCAGAGTACTATGCCCTGACGCGGGCAGCAAGCGCTGGCTTGCTTTTGAAGAATGTCTTGGAAGAAATCCAAAGAGAGACTGAAATGATTTGCTTGACAGATTCCTCGGCCGCGAAAGGAATCACAGCTCGACATGGTGTCGGACGCGTAAAGCACTTGTCGTTGAAGGAACTCTGGGTCCAAGACATGGTGGCAAAGAAAACCTTCAAATTCCAAAAGGAGTCCACCGAAACAAACTGGGCTGACATAGGAACGAAGGTTCTCGACGCAGCAAGAATTTCAAGATTGGTGGAAATGATGCCGCTGAAGAGGGGCATCATTGCGGCATCGCTTCTGACACTTGGGAAGTGTCAAGGACCTGAAGAGTATGACACAGATGAAGACGGCAGTTGGCCATTTTGGCTATATTTTCTGCTGATGCATCTGTTTGCCTTGTTTGGGCTGATTGCATTTTGCATGAGAGCCTACGAATCGTTCACGAACAGAAACCGTTTGAAAGAAATGATCGATGAAAGATGTGAGAGCGAAGGTGAGAAAGATGAAAGTGATGACAATGGGACAGGAACAGAAATCCCTGGTCCCACAGTGGCGCAAGAACCTGCGATGAGTTCGCTGGGAATGGAGGTAAAGGCCTCCGGAAATGAACACAGTAAGCCGGCAGCGCTGATCCAAGATGGATCACAAGGCCTACGTGAAAGACGCGAGCCTGTAAATGAATTCGTACTTGGCAGTGGCCAAGGTGTAAAGTATCACAGATTGAACTGTGGTATAGCCAATGCTAATGTAAATAGAAGAAGGGTCAGAGAGATTCGACGTAGTGCTGCTTTGAATGCAGGTTGCCAACCTTGCAAGCAGTGCTGTCCTAGGTAGATGAAGAACCCAAGACGGACAGTGCAGAGTCCAAGACTTTGCTCTGTGGAGGGGTGTTGGGATTTAGGTCCTATACATCTCCTTGCGTGTGTTACCTGATGTAGTTGTAAAGATTGAGACTGAAAACGAAAGGGTTGCATCTGCAGCCCCTCTTCGTTTCAAGCTAAAACAGCCGAGCGTGCGTTGTTTCAGCCTCGGAAGCCGGGTGCGAAAGTTTGCTGTTCAACTCGGCATTCATCGAATTTCCAAGCTGAGTGCGGCCATGCCGCACCAATATGATCGTAAGTATAAGCCTGCAGTGCTGCTTTGGGGTCCAGTTCAGAGGTTAGTGTTTTTGATTTGCTGGTGTCAACCGTTCTTCAGGAGGGGCTTGAGAACAATGCAACCATCAAGGATGCGAAGGAAGCCCAGCAACTTGGGAATATGTGAGTAAATTTTTAGTTCTCCCGCTTTTCTCCTGCGCGTCTGATTTGTTTTTGCAGCTTGCTCTACGCTCGTAGACTTCACACATGCAAGGGAAGCTGTGGCCTCAGCCCTCCAAGTGCTGCGTGAATTCTATGCCAAGGCACAGATGGCGGGCGGGTGATTCTTCCGGTCCAACTCGCTCGATGGTTCGCGCGAAACGCACGAAACGTGCCCTCAGATCCGAGCACGGCATGAGCTGTGCCGGCTGTGCAGTTGACCCATGTTTACCCTGCGATAAGGCGACAAAAGGAGTTTCTACCTTGCTTTTCCTTGCATTTGATACCATTAATATTTAAACAAACAAATCATTGGTTCATTGTGAATGTGTTGTTCAAGGCTAAAAACCCTCATGAAAAGAACACCTGCGGCCCGACTTTGTATGGTGGCGTTGTACTGATTGTGCATTGTTTCAGACCCTTCCAGTCTTTGGGCGGGTGGTGTTTCGTGTGCGCTTTTATTTCAGCCATGGGGAACCTCCCCTGAAGCCCCCCGAATGAAGCTCTCCCCCCCGGAAACCGGAAACCGGTCGACTCGTCCGAGCCCGGCACGGGCACGCGCCCGGCGCTGTCTCCCGGGCCCCCAGGCGGCCGGTGCGAAGTCCTTGGTCCAGACGGCTCAGAGCAGCGTGGCCCACGCGCCAGACATCTTTTCCGACGAGCCGTGCCCGCGGAGGGAGGAGGGAGTGAGGGGTTTGCAGCCGCGTTCTTATGCGGGGGGGGGGCACGAACGGTGGGGCGAGAAGATGGTGAAGTGGATGCGATTGATGGATGTGTGCATATGTTTGCCAAGGCTCCTTAAATGCGTGTCTTGGAACAGTTTTTAAAGGATGGTCGTTGAATCTGTCTTGGAGATTGATTGTGAGTCAAGTTTAGGATTGATGCTATGGATTTGATGTATTTTGATGCAACTAATTTAATGATAATTAATGAGGATACACGTTTCAGACAGCTTTCAGAGGATCATTTGGCAGCCATAGAAGGCGCTGGTCGTTGCAGTGATGGACGCAGCTCGGGCCCCCTTTTCCGCCCTGGAAGAGGCAGGTCCCGAGTTTTGTGGAGGTGAAAATGGATTGAAGGACCCGACCTGCACTCCTTTTCAGTGTTCCAGAGCCTTCCAGGGTGGCTGCAAACCCTAAACCAGGCCACTCGATCCTTCCAACACCGCCAACCATGTGAGAGGACAGGCGAACACCTCGGGGGGGGAGGGTGGCCCAATTCGCAGCACCTCAACTCGCCAGGTACACGGGCCTGGGCGGCGAGAGCGGTGGGGTGGTCTCAATGATGGAGGTCATTGAGAGTGACTTCGCACACCTCCAGGCGGAGACTGAGGCGCAGGAGGAGGCCGCCAAGAGCGAGTACCAGGAGACGCTGGTGTCTCGGGGCGACCCGAGCTGGTGTCGAGGGGCGGGAACGGGGCGCTGAACATGCCCCGTTGGTTTGGAGATGCAAAGCCATTCTGAGATCGTCCCTATAGGCTATTTTAATATATTTTAATGTTGCTTAATTGATCAACCACACTCAACATTGATCTCATGAACCAGCATCATCCAGGCTTCTCTTATTCTCTCGCAGAGAGCCGTCAGTTCGATTCGCTGGTTTCGAAGATCGTGACAGCCACTGAGTTCGCTTTTCCTTCTCAGGAGTTCATGGAAGACTCCAAGGCGCTTGGGCGCGAAACTAATCCTCCGTTTGGGGGCGACCACGCGCGAACCGGAACCGAACCGCACCGCCGCGGGGGACAAGCCGATGAATCGGTGCGTTTCGGTGGCTTCCGCAAAGCGGGAAAGACGTCGGAAGACATGGTACGAATGGAATGCCGTTGCGTGGAACGAATGGAATCATCATGTTCCCATCTATCTCTTCTGTCTCGTTTCCACGTGATTGGTTTTTGGCAGGGAGTGTAAGGGAATGTGAGAGTATTATATAAATGATATAGTATACAACAGTACTGAGAGTACTGCACGGTTCATGGCATTACGTGCAGAAAAGCAATGTTCAATGAGTCGAACGGTTTCTAGCACAACAGGTTTTTGTGTGGAAGAAACAGCGCGGATCGTTCATGAAAAGGAACAGAATCAACCACCAAGAAGACGAGCATTATCTTTTTAGCAGCAACAGCAGAAACCACCATGTCACATGTCCCTCTTCTTCGATGTGCTGTTTTTCTTGAATTAAGAGAATCAGTTGTGCTTAATTTGCCGTCAATGTGTTTAAGTCTTGTTCAGCGCCCCTCAAGTGGTTTGACGGCCCACCCCCTTTCCTGTGTCATGGTGTTGAACCTGCAGACAGCTATGTTAGGTTTGTGTGCAAGTAGGCGGAGCACCCCAGGGAAAGGGCTTCATGAATGTACCAACCGTTGCAAAGCCAATGTGCTTGGAACAATCTTTGAGGACATGCTGTACCCCAAATATCCCCAGATGGTTGTATATCATTGGCCAGTTCTCCTTCATTCACGATCAAAGCACTTCTCCTTCATATAGTCGTTCTCTCATGGCTCTCTCATGGCGCTAATCAGCACTAATCTCATGGACACAGATCAAGCAGTTCTCCTTCATCCTTCTTTGTTTTTGCTCCGTCTATATAGAGCGGCCTGTTTAGAACTGTCGATTCTCTGCAGTTCTCATCCCATCACCGGTCATGGCTGTCTGGTGGCTGTTTACCGTGGTTGTTCCCGGTGTTTTGGTTGTTTCCAGTCTCACCAGGTGGACAAGGCAGTGAAGATCAAAACTGGGGAGCATAAGACAAACAAGAAGACTGGCAAGAGCGAGGAGAACATCCGGGTCTTGGAAGTGGAGGTGTAGGTGGTTTTTCAAAACGGGCTTCGTTCGCTCCCAGATGTCCCAGATGTCAGAGAAGAACGAACGGCTTGATGAATTAAAGTTTGTCCTGGCTTTTCTGGTGATGAATCAAGTCCTGTTCGGTGTGATGTGTTCTTCGTGTTACATGTAATATATTGTACTGTAATATTATGTAATATATATATATATTAAGTAGCGAACCAAAATATGTACTTTGACCAAGTCATTCATGGAAGTGGAAAACCACCCGTTTGTCGAGAAACAGGGTCTTCCAGGGGCATATGCCATCCACTTCCATGATCCTTTCAGAGAGTTTAGATGAAAGTATGTTTACTTGGAGTGGAGCGATTTTCTGGGAAGCCCTGCAAGCCCAGCTCACGGCTCGATCCAGGAACTGGTCACCTTGGAGGGAGATCTGGCAGGAACCAACAAAGAGCTAGAAGCAGCGAACGCATACTTCGAGTGCCCCGGCCTTCCGCCGCGGGATGATCGAGGGCCCTCTCCTCTCCTCTGGGGGCCCGGAGCGGAGCGGCGGTCGGTCTGATCGCTCCGGGCCCTAAGGGTGATGACCCTTGGTAGCCGCACTCGTAGCTTCTGGTTCCTAGTACTGCCAGGAGCTACTACGTACTATAGCCCAGGGAATCCAACAAGTGTATATTTGCAGGGTTAGCTAACTATGCACTATTTACAGGGTTTGGCCAACTATGCACTATTTAAGGAGTTAGTCGAAATATGTCGAAACCAGGTTTGTCCAAAGGGGCTCCAGAGTGTCGAATTTGTGGTTGCAAATCATTCTTTTTTGAACAGTTTGGCACTTTGCCCACATTTTCTTGGGATAAATGTGAGCGATGAGCGATGCTGATGTGTAGTGAACCCCGAATAGATAGAAAGTGCCTCCTCCAAGATGGTTAATTTTTCAAAGATGGATTGCTACATCTGCTTGGGCACCTCTATGTTGGTTAGTGAATTGTTCTCTCAGTTGTGTGTGTTCTTTGGAAGTGTATCCAAGGAAGCTGAAGCCTGACTGCTTTGATACCGGTGTTTCCTATGCCGAGCGCAAAGCGCAGAGAGAAGAAGAGTGACTTGGACAAAGTCTTCAGCAAACTCACTCAGACTGCTGACAACACTTCACAAGATGAAGCTGGGCTTGACTTCTTGTGGCGTTGGGTTTGGCACCCACACTCTCGACCCCTGGAGATTGAGGCTGAAAGACCTCCAAACAGCATTGAAGATGCTGGAGACTCTCTAGGACACTGCACCATGGCTGGAATCTTCCGCATTAGCTGGAGAGTTTGGGCCCCCCACATGCCACACCGGCTGCCGAGCTTTAGGGCCAGTTTCACAGGGCCCCAAACAGGATCTAACGGTGCCCACAACGTGCGACGGGTTCCCGAAGGAGTTTGCCTCTTGGACGCAAGGGGTGGCCTTGATCCATCTTGATCCATTTACGTTGGACTCCAAAAAGCAAGCCCATTTGAAACCACTTGAAACCAGTTTCCATTTCACATTCATCCACTGAAGTCTCGGCTTCAACCACATTCCACCTCACAGCCAGTTCACCTATAAAACTGTCCAAGGAATCGATGGCAATGAACCAGGGTGAAGCGAACGAAGCGAACGAAGCTTACCCAAGAAGATGCTGAAGCCTTACGCTAACATGGGAAGGAAGGGACGATGTTTCGACCAGTTCCCCCCATTGAGGACCTGGAAATATGTTCAAACCCCTTCTGACAGGGGCAAACCGTTCGGTTCTTCCAACTGAGTGCAGCACCCGAGGCAGCGAAGCATCAAACAGGTGAGACCCGCAGTGAAAACCAGCAGATGAAAAGAAGCAGCCGCAGCTGATGTCATCAGCGGACTCACATGCAGTCAACATGGAGTCACATGGAGTTGGGCCGTTTGGCTGCCATACGCCTGTGGAATCCTCGTTAGTCATCTATGGGACGTAGCCAAAACGAAGAAGTTGTGGCAACTTTTTATTTTTCGCAATTAGGACAGCTCCCTATTTCAAATTCTTCAGCATCACCGCTGCCGGTTCAAAACGAGATCTTCTCGTCTTCTCTTTTCAGTCACCCAGAAAAACCCTTTCGCATCGCTGCTTCGTGTCGGGAAGACCTGAAGGTCGGCTCCCCGTCCGTGGGACCCCTCCAATCGGAGATGCCACCCATGCCACCCGCCACCCCTTCCGTTTTGCACTCAGACGCTGCGGCTGCGTCGCGACGCTCCAAACAGGCACCCCCCGACAGGGCGACGAGACGGCGGGAGCGGAGGATGCCGGAGGTCTGAGCGCCGGATCGGATGAGTTGGACATCCCCAAGCACGTCTTAGTCTTAGCACCCAGCCGGGCAACGAAGAATGAAACGGATGTGGGCCAAAGTGTGACAGATCGCTGCTTTTGACGGAGGTGAAAGAGATGCATCTCTTGAAGTAAACGATGGAAGTGGAGTTCACCACCTGTTTGGTATTCCCAAAATGGTCATCAGAAATCGGGGCCATGTAACCATGAAAATTCCACAGACCAGGACCTACGATCGGAGTGGTTCATAGACACCCCCTTAACCTCTAAACGAAACCGGTTAGGCGGTTCGCTGGGAGATCTGGCCCACGCCCCTGCTCGAGTTTCCTCGTTTCCTCCGCTGGATTTGGCCCCCCAAAAGCGCCTGGGTCGCAATGGTGAGCCATTTGCGCTGGCTGCTGTGGTTGCTGAGCACTTGGCCTGGTTTTTCTGCAGAACTCAACTCGACGAATGTAAGTAGCGGGAGCACCTGCTTTCCAGATGGAATCGTCGCAGCAAGGCCCTGTGGAAGACACGGATACTGTTGAAGCAAGAGTGTCCTAAAGGACCTGAGATAGAACACCTTCCATCAATAAGAGAGAGAGAGAGAGAGATTCAGAGTGTTTGTTTCTCGGCGGCAACAGCAGCAGCGTCCAGGAACTCCTTGCGTTGGGGATATTCCTAGCATTTCTTATATAGTCATTCATCCTGGAGCAGATAGAATATTGGGAAATCATCCTGCCAACGTAACAAACGGAGGGAGGGTTGGGGGGATATGCATGCATTTTGCCTCAGGCAATGGGGTTGAAAGATGCCAGCAACTCTCGGAATTCCTCGCATCTCGTCATCCCATCGCGAGGCGCAAGAATGTGACCAACGGTGCCGAGAGCTATCCTCTTGGTCTTTACGACGCTTGGTGTCGATAGCGGACGGATGTGTCCAGCAGCGCATCCGGAGCGTTTTTGTGTTCTTTTTTCTCGGTGCAGTGTTCAGGCAGGTCTGTGACAGGGTGCAAGCACTGTATGGTCATCGACCCGTCCACGATGCGGAGCGATGCGGAGCGATGAGCGGAGCGACCTATGAGTTCCGAACTCCAGGAACTGGTCTGGTTGGTCGCTCCAACACACGGAGTCCTTGGAACCCCTTGGTGAGTTGGGTTTGTTGGCAGCGGGGGGCTCGGGCTCGGCAGAGAGTGGGCGAATCGGGCGGACGTCGAAGTCGGGCGACGGAGGTGATGGATTGGGCAGCGGCGCATGCGACTTCGGCTGTGGCCCAGATCCTTCTCGAGGACCGGGTGGGAATTGAAATGAGTCTCAAGCACTTGTCGGCCGTGGGGCGGGGGGGTGAGAATGAAGGGAATTGAAAGGGAAAATTATGGCACATTTGTGTTTTTTTGGGGGAAAAACCAGCTGTGACAGGAAGACAGAGCTGTTTTTCCAAGCTTTGGCTGAAGTAGGTTTCAAGCGTTGTTCCGTTTCATGACATTTCGTGACGATGTCGCCTCGACGCATGATTTTGTCCGAAAGACTCGGTGATAAGTGCCCAAACACGCGTGGTAGTGTGTCCTTCCCCAGGACCTCCATGCATGACAGTATGACCAATTTACCTACCTTCGGGATCATTTGGGTGTTTTAGGTGCCAATGTGTATAACTAGTATAATTACCTGTATAAGTAGGTTACTTATGATGCCGCAATTATGCCAGACATGGAGTCTTTGCTGCCCAGACATGGTCATTGATGAGGAGAAATTGGGCTACTCGGTGGTACCAGACATGGGCATCAGCACACCAGAAGCTTGGTCTTGGTCAGTGACCTGTGCCCAACGGGCTGGGCGTTTGCTTGAGACAAGTCACCCTGCTTCTGGTAAAGGTAATTGGAAGGGAGGCCTTTGCAGCTCCATAGTGGCCTTTGCAGCTTCGAGAGTTGCAACTACTAAAGGTGCATGTATAGATGGGTTTCTTGGAAACGCGTTGCTTGCTTCGAGACGGTCCCTTCTCAAACCGTTCGTCTTGGATGTCGATTTCAGATACATTCTGAGACCATGGTCTATTACAAATTCCTTTCGTACAAACAGGGGCCCTGTCCGAGCGTCCTGAAACCAGTGCAGGATCCTGGATCCAAGCCACCGCAGGAGAAATTGCAGAGATGGTGTCGAACAGCACCCGACTTCACAGGTCACCACCTCACACTTGTAAGTCTACAAAGCCACCAAAGGAGATCTGTTGGAGGGTGCCGGTACCCAAGAAACAAATATGAATGCGGTTCTCACACACACACACACACCATGGGGTGCCTTTCCTGCGAGGATGCCTTCTTTGCTTTGGCAGGGTGCCTGCAGCCCACGAACACCACTGATCGTGGTTGCGGCAGTGGGCCCACGGGTACCTACTACCATATCAGTCTGGAAGGTTGGACGCTAGGAGAGGGTGGGGAAAATGAAGGAAGATGAACGAAGATGAGTAGCAACAATCACTGTGACGACCATGGAGGCTCGAGGTTTGGCCTAAATCTCAAGGGCTGTGGAACATGAGCAAGGTAGACTTCGAGAGGGAGCAGCAGTGACGGACACTCGCAGGATACATCGAGATGTGGAAGGAACTTCAGCAGACCTTTCCTGCTACAGCGCCCAGGAGCGGCCCTTACAGCGGGGTGTGGAATGAACCATTTTTACTAGTAGCTTCTAGCTACTAGTAGTAAGAATGCTCCTAGTAGTGATGCCAGGACCCCCTAGTAGCGTTCTTGCTACTAGGAGTAAGGCCAGGAGCCCCTAGTAGCTTCTAGCTCCTAGTAGTAATTAAGGCCATTTGGGCTTTCAAAAGTGGTTCAAAGAACAGCCCAAAGAGTCTTTGAGATGCGAGGCTGCCATTGAGGCTACCCAAGACTTGGCAGCTAGATGCAGCTAGTCCAATGGTCTTTGTAGACTATAGGCATGTGAGTGTGAGAAGCAGTGCCAGTGCACTCAGGTTGTTGAGGCTTCAAGCACAATGCTGCTGTGCCTGAAAATAGGGAAGCCACTCATATGACCTGTTGGAAGAAGCATTGACCGACATTCCGCGACATACTGAAACCTATATGGGTATTGATCCGTAGAAGAAGCTAGGGGTGTGAGCTGCCGACGGAACGACCAGAATCCTGGTTTTGCGGAATCATCACATATGTTCTATCAAGGCCATGGTCATGCCATGGTCACCATGCCTGCTTTTGTGCGAGCCTTTCGTGAATTGTTCCCTGGACACAAGGCTGGTGGGCCAGATGGGCTACATGGGAGAGGTGTCCACCTTCATTCCAAAGAGCGCGCAGGCGCGCCCATGCGCCGTGGACGGCCAGCCCGTCTCTCGTGGCCCGTCTAGAGAGTTTCGATGAGTTTCGCATAAAGAGAGAGAGTTTTGCATATATAGAGGTTCAACAGTTCAAGATCACTGGAACACCTTTGGATTGATTAAAACTCACGGTTTCATCAGGTATTGGACAGCTTTTCAACTTTCAACACTGCACTCCTCCCGGAACTCGAGAAAAACACACGCGGAAAACCAAATCATGGGAAGACCTTAAAGACATGACGTCAAGCATGTTTGTGTATCTCCCAATTTAGAACCCTGGCTCGGAACATCGAGGGACGGCTCTACTCGTCCTGGAATTCCTCCATCCGTTGGTCGTCGCCAGGCGAAGGCCTATGAGGCCGAAGGTCGATCGATGGACTTCTACCGGGAAGCTCGGCAGGGTTCCACCGGTGTCCTCTCTGGGTGTCCGCGTGCGCGTGTTCCAAGGGCTCGGCTCCCGCGCAGGCAGGACGCAGGAATCAGTGCATGGAGCTAAAGACCCTGCAGGTAGACCGGTTGGTCTGGTGCCATGATCCACGGCACATGGAGAGTCACAGGCTCCTGGGAAGACGACCGGGTGAGAACTCAAGCGGCTCAAGAGAGCATGGGGCGACCCAACCATTCATGGGACTGGCATTAGGCCCTTAAATCCTACATCATTGGACCCTTAAATCGAGTTTTGAAGTCAACGCTATAAGTCACCCTATAGCGTTGACTCTCTTGAAGTGCCTCAGAGTTGAAGGTGGTCCAAGCCCATTCTGAGACGTGGAAGGCCTTTGACACTGAGCGGACCAGGGGTGAGGCATCCGGAAAGTCCAATTCAGGACGGTCAGGCGGTCCTGTTTTTTTTCAGTTGTAAACGTTGCATCACAAGGAATCCTGGGGTTATATGATGGCTACATATGGCTACTATAATATAGATTTGCTGATAATTTGCTTAGCAACTTCTTTTTTTGCTGGCATCTCATTCAATTGGGTCTGAGTTCGTGTGTGCATCCACATCATGCTTCAACGTGTCAACTCCGAAGCGATGTTGTGTCGTCAATGTGTTTTCCAGGGAGAGTTTGATGTTGGCAAGGCTGCCAAGCAGCCAGTCTGTGGTCTGTGTACCATGCCAAGTCCTTTGCTGCACGATGGCATCTAAGGACTTCAATGTCTCCTGGAACAAGCCATGGCGCTATTTTGGTTCACCCAGAGACGTGGACATCCTGGTTGCAGTTTGTGCTGTTTCTTTTGCTTGACCTCTGAATAGTTATGCGCTAACAGGCTAATAGGGTGCTTATCAACTCTATTTTTTGTTCGCTCTCTCTCTCTCTCTCTGTTTAACTCTTTCAAAGGACAAGCATCTCAACCTGCGTGGCTCTGCCTCACGGTGACTTTGTGTTTAACACGTCTCATCACCTGCTTTCATCTCAGGACAAGACACGACTGATGCGTTGTGAGCTGACCACCCTGAACAGAGCCTCTCCACAAATGCGCGTCTACGGAGAGTTGCTAGGCCCGCGAGTGAGTTGCGGTGCGAGAGCGAGTTGCGGTTCCGTGCGTGAAACATCGGAGGATCCCGAGGTCTCCCTATTCGGGTCCCACGTCCATCTACGTCCATCTGGGTGGTTCACCTGAAGCATTGAAAATATGTCTAAGACAGCTCCGTAGGATAGAAGCTTACAACTTTGATCATTCTTAGGAGCAACTTTCGAGCACGGAGCAGTTGCGAGCACCCTTTTGGTATCTTTTGGTTGTTTGGATCTCTGTACATCGAGCTATGGGTAGTAGGGGTACTATGAGTATGACCGGTCTCCAACGGGTCTATCTCAGCCTCATCCGGAGTGCGGAACAAAACAGATAGAAGTTCTCGATTTTTGTTGACACGAGTTGGGACGCAGAAAGGATTTGGCAAGCCTTGTGGCCTTGGGATGTCCATTTCGTTGGAGAAATCGCTCTTCAGTTCTTTTGATCAGACGCTGAAGAAAAAGCGGCGGTTCTGCTTCGATCCTCCAAAAGCTTGTCTTCCAGTCGGATATCCAGTCCAGTCACGGCAGGTCAAAGAGAAAACGGTCCATGCAATCTTAGTACAACCTGTTTGGGGATGGAGCGGCGCTGGGAGTTTCGAGCGGCGTGGAGTGGTCGACCCTCCCTGGCGCGTTGGGGGGGGGGGCTTTTGACGCGCCAGGAGATTGGGATGGACTGGTCATGGAAGGCGAGAACCGGACCGAAACCCCAACCGGTCGACCGCGCCCGAAGCACCGGTGCGTCAGTGCCTGTGCCGCACTGATCGCCTCGGTGGCGAGAGGGTGGAGCAATTCTGCGAACGGAGCGGGATGGGTTTGGGGAGATGGCGACCGAAGGTGGGTTCGGCACCTGTTGTTTGGCGAGGAAGTTCATGCAGCTGAAAAAGACGTGCATCTTTGGCAGGCTCAGGCGAGTATCGGGCCAAGTGCATGGATGACTACTTCTGGTACTCGCCAGCCTGTCGCGGCAACTCCTCCGAGTGCGTGCTGGTGCTGTCGGGTGGTACAGGTTGGTCTTTGGAAGAGTCTCTTGCTCCAATGAATTTGGTAGAGTCACAGAACCACACCGATTCTGAAGTGTGTTTGTCAGTGACCATGGATATTTTTGCGCCTGACAAGTCAAGCATAGTAAAGCAAGCTAGCAGACAGACAGCCCTGGCAGTCAGGGCCAGAAACACATACAGATGCTTCTTCGCAAAGCATGCATTCGGCTGTCCGCAGCCTGCTGTCAGCCGCTTCGTGCGCTTTGTCGCGCCCGAGGTTTATGCAGAAGGCCGCAGCTTTCAGCATGCCTTGGGCGTTGTGTGTTGCCGCGAACTGGTCGGAGTACGCCAGCTTGCCCTTTGATTATACCAGCGCCTTCTATTGGTGGACACCAGATCCCACCTTCCTCAGGCCGAGTGGGCGATGAAGTTGGGCGCCCCCGCAAACACATGGGGTGCAAAACATACACGCGCGGCCTTTGACTCTTGTTTAGTCGTGTTTTCTCAGCAAAGCTTCCTTTAGTGTCCTTTAAAATGTTTTCCAGCATTCAACAGCTATAGAATACTTTGACGTTCTCAAAGTACGGTCAAATCGTCCGTTTATTTCAGACATGACTTGACTTTTGTCGTTGAGCATCACGCTCGGGTGCTTGACGCTCGGGTGACTGTGCCGTCCGTTGTGCCGTTTGTGCCTGTGCCACACACTGTCTGGGTGTCCTGGCGTTCGACTACCCTACCCTACGTAAACAGGTCTCCTACTCCAGGGCACCTAGACAGGAAGTGCTAGGCACGTGTGTGTTTGTGACGCTGTGATAGGATTGATCCTACAAAGATGTTCTTCCCACCGCATGATGGACGAGCCTGGAATCTGGGAGACCGGAGCAGCGCAAATCAAGCAGTGGCCATCGACAAGTTTGTCAGCAAGGACATCCACCGGACAATGGACTTGTTCCAACATGTTCCAAACACATCAGAAACCAAGAGATCAGCGTTATCTTCATCAGTAACAAATTCATGTGGAATCCCAATACATGTGCAGTCCAACCGGTCGAACGTCCATTCCTTTCCATCCATTTTTGTCCACGGTTGAACTGTCGTATGACCGTATGACCGAAGTGGAGCGGTGCGAAGAGTGTTGTCTTTTTTTGGCTAGATCCTTTCAATCTCAAGATTGGACATTGATCCCCGTTAAAATTTCCTCTACGAAATCAGGTATCATGGAATAGCTAATTCAGGGGGGTTTTATATTTCTGCAAAAAATCCCCCCCCCCATTTTGTAGAGAGAAATCAGTCGTTGTCACGTTGATAACTGATTCTGTAGTATTGTTTATGCCGGCAAGACTCTAGATTGAGTGCATGTGGAAAAGGATTTTCTAGAGATGTGAGTTTTGTAGATACCAATAATGTGCAGGAACTGAGATTTTGTAGTAGATTTTGAGATATCTGTCATGCCGTATCAGGTTGACTGATGATTTTGTAAATACACTGGATTTAGGATTTTGTAGAAGCGCTGACCTTTCGACATTGCAGCCAATTTGGGCTTAACAAGTGGAAGATGGAGATGGAACCGCCAGCGAATTGGCCAACTACGTGCCATGTTAGTACATGTGATGGGAAGGTGGAGAAGCCGACGTGGGAACCTCACAGAGGCACATGGAGCAACTTGGCCTGATAAGGATGGTAAACTTGCATGAGGGTGCAGCTGCTGAGACTGGCATTGCCAGGCCCAAGGTAGCTCATGTTTCTCCAATTGGCATCTAAGTTACAAGATGCAATACGATATTGAGTGGAAGGAAATCCTACCATCACTGGTACTACGACATGAAGCTGAGCTGCAATGAGTGATTCTAACCACTCAACTTGACTGGGTACCCAAGGCATCCCAAGGGTACTCAATCGGCATTCAGGTGATGTAAAGCTTCTTCGGACGACCGCGGTCGTCAGGAGCACACAGCTTTGGAAGTCAACTCTTCGAATCAGCAGGGACAAGCCAAAGCTAGAAACTTGGCTGAACAGAAGCCGTTCTGGGTGTGCGATGTGCCAGTGCCATTGGTTGTGCGATGTGCACTGATAATCACTGACCACTGTGTGTTGCAGCTTTCGGTCTGGCTCAACGGGCGCTTGCAGCCGCGTTTTGGTAGCATGAACTGCATGTTTGCTTTCTGGCTCCTGGGTGGGATTGTTGGATGCGACGCGGTCATCCCTTCCATCAAGGATGACACAACCACTGTGCTGCCAGAGGGTCAGTTTCTTGCCTTTTGTTTGGAAGGCTGGTAGAATTGCACGCCGGCTTCTACAAAATCCTAAAAAGATTAGTAGACTCTACAAAATCATATACATGAGTAACCACATGGATACAAATGAGTTATGAGTTGATTGAACGAGACTTTAAAGAAGTAGTTTTAATTTCTCTAGGTTTGTTGACGCTAGAAGGTTACGAAAGCCAGCCTTCGTAGAAGGCGCTAGCGGAGTTGTGTCTGGCGAACGAAGTGAGTAGTTAGGGGGTTTGGGGGGGTGGCCCGGGAAAGGTACACGTAAACTCGGCACATGCTGGGGGAGGAGGGTGCTTCGAGGGAAGGTTTTTTGAGGTTGTGTTGGAGGTGATTTTTGAGGGGTGGTGATGCAAGAAATGCCAAATGCATGATTTGCATCATTTGCGGCATGGTGATCGCATGGCAAGGGTTTTGTGGGGCTCGAAACGCTACTGTTTCGAGCCCCACAAATCGGGGAACTTGATTGATCTGTTCTAAAACGCCGATCATTGGATAATCTCTACTGGTTCTGTACCCGTCGGCCCTCCTTCTCCAGACTTGTAAAAATTCATAGCACACGAAGTGTACTTGGGTGGACGCATGCGGCCTGGTGCTCGCATGGCAAGGGGTTTGTGGGGCTCGAAACGCAGGGGTTTCGAGCCCCACAAATTGAGGAACTTGGTTGTAGCGGTTTTTGTCCATGGCGATACTAGGCCTTGCAGCAATGCCTTTTCTCTGCTTGCTTCGACGCGCAGTTGTCGAAAAGGGGAAGCGCTGGCTTTCGTTTTGCAGCTTCTCAGGTTGCTTTCTACATTTCAGTTGAGGTTCATTGAGTGTGGAAAGGTTTGCCGTGAATGATCTTACACTATACCAAATGAATTTGTAGACTCGCATTTGTTTGATGCATTTTGTAGAAGCAAGCCTGCTTGGAACCTCAGGTGGTTTGAGCCAGAGGCCTGCTTGCCTGAGCTCATGTCTTGGTCAAGGTCGGTAGCAGATTCATCTTTGAAGATCTACCAATGCCTGGATGTTTTTGGCGCAAGCCAAAGGGTCAGTAAGCTGTGGAATGCGGAGGGTTTGCCGTCCATTTCCATTGATATCAAGCTGAGCTCAAAGTGGGACATTTGTTCCAAGCAAGGGTTCAAGGCTTTGTTGAACACTGGATTGCGGCTGCTAGCTTGCGCTTTGATAGCTGGCTGAAAACAATGTTTTGTAGGAAGAAAGCTTGTGAATGGCAGTGTTCTCTTCTACATTTGGGCTTTGGATGCGCATTGACAATCTTTGGCAACTGAGGTTGGTCAGGGGTGGGTTGGTACTAGCGGCGCCACCATGCAGCTTGCACTCTGCTGCTTGTGCTTCCGTACACCGCCGCACGAGAGAGAACCCTCGAGGTGATTTGACCCGGTACAAGGTCCGGTTGAGCGACCGTATTTGGCGGAGTTTCGTTTCTTGACTACAAAATCAGCAGAACTCAATGTATCAAAGCGCATGAGAATGGTATGTCAGCACACGGAGCTGAGATAAGCTGAGGCTGCTTTTTGCCAGATACTGCTGTCCGTTCGTCCAGACATCTATCTGGTCATCGAACAGCCTTCTACCAGTTGGGCTTTCAAGCAGCCTTGCATGATTGATCTCGCCCAGATGTTTGGCTTGCACCTTGCTTCAAGCTGGATGCTGCATCGCCAGCAGTGGTCACACCTGTGTACATTTACTTGTGTAAGGTCGGTTACCTTGACATGGTTGGCCTTTTTCGGACACGACATGCTAAAGGCAACGCATCTATTGTCAAATATGAGGCAGGATAGGGTCTTGCTGCTTAACTCAATCGTTGATTGAAACCTTTATGAAACCTTTGGCATCCTTTTGCACCCTCTTGCTGTGTACCGGCACAGGACGGCCAAATCCATCAAGAGGCACATGACCAAGTCCAAGCGCGCGTGCTACAAGGCTAGGCTAGGACAAACTTGAGTTTTAAAGGTCTGACAGTCTCTATCTTGGAGTATCGTGGATGCTTTTTGTATAGCATCAACCCGATGCAGGCCAGATTTCTTCGAAGACAGAGAAACCGAAAGCATAAAAAAGTGTCCTGGTAGCAGTTGGTTGTGCTCTCTACAAAATGGCATATACCAAGTCGTCTTTCTACAAAATGACTGAGATGGCACATGATGGCACTAGGTAGTTGCCAATTTGGGTTTGTTGACTTGTTTGATTTAGATGTTTCCTGGCTTGTTGATGCGTCCTGATCGTGTTTGATGATATTGTAGCGCGCAACAACGCCTGAGGTATACCACACCCGTACCAGAACAGGGTGGCAAGGTGGCAAGGATTTGCCATCAAGTGCAATTTGGCCGAAGGCATTTTGTGAGGCCTTGATGCATTGCTGGCTAAAAGCTTGCGTGCAAGACCGTTTGTCCAGCAGCCAAACTGCGTAACAGAGGTGTACAGAGTACGTAGATGGAAATGGCATCCAAACATGCATTTCAATTTCCCTCATTTGGAGGACGTTTCGTTTCACTGCGCCATGTTGGTATGCTCCTAGGGAGATCCCTGCCGGCCTGCTGGATTCTGAATAGTGAATCCAGCTGCATAGCGTGCAGCTACAGACTACAGCGTCGGATTCCCAACGCTGGATAAACTTTTGGGATCTTTTGGGTGCTGTCGGATGGCTTTTGGATGCCTTTCAAATTGATTCAAATTGGTATTCTTCTCTGAAGCTGGCACCCTTTGACCATTTTGCCAAGCACTGAGAAACAACAAAATCATTGCTCATTCATGGTGATCTGTCTCAGGACAAACCGGTGGCAGAGCCACCACCTTTGCCCGCGCCAGCACAGCCACACCGCGGGCCACAGTCAGAAGAATCGCGCAACACGCAAGCGCCACCTTCAGGAAGGGTCGGAAGGGTCAACCATACATTGATTAGAAAATTAATACTACTTTGCAAAAATCTACAGAATGCTGGAACTGAACTCTTTTCAGATCGTACATGTATTTGTCTTGCTGTATGCTTTGGTTTCGTGTTTCAACCTGCCAACTTAGTACCTTTGATCGTTTTCAACTTTATGGGTTTCTTTATGGCGTGTGGAAGGACGTGGAGGGAAAGATGGTGCTCCTGCTGAACCTTCAGCGGTGAGCCTCGCAGAGACAGGACAGGGATTCAATACAAAGTGCCATGAACAGAGATACCATCTACAAAATTGCCGGTCTGAACGTTTTTCCTGCCGATAGTCATATCTTTTTCAGATATCACTGCTCATGCTGGCAACAAGATTTCCTACTCTGCAGAAAGGGACGGTGGTTAACATGGTAAACATGTGAAAACATAGCGGCCTGTCAGTATTATGCCACAACTTATATAACAGCTTTTGATAGCCACTTCTTTTTGGTCAGGACGCGCAGAGGCACATGATGATCCAGCTGTTTTTTCAGCAATGAGTCTTGCAGATCGAGGACGTCTCGGATACAAAATGGAAAGGGACATGGAACCTGTCTACAGAATGATCAGACTAGGACTATGCAGTCTCAGGTTTCCCTACTGTCTCGCAAGTCCCAGGGCGTAAGAGCTGGATTTTGTAAAAGGTGGATTGTTTTTATTGTTTTTGAAGTTTGCAGGGAACGGACAGTCACAGAAAACGTGAGAGCTAGCCTGTGTAAATGTATTTATATACTTCCT